TTTTGGTGTGCAATAAAGAATCTCTCTCTGTCTCTATCTTTCTCTTTCTAGTAAACAATTTATAAACTATAGAACGCAAGGCAAATATGTTATAATATATAGAAAGAGACAGAGTACCCGTTAGTTAGTATTACAGTATGTTGTCAGTTAATTTCACAGATCACCTGGCTTTAAGTATTTACAGGAACCCATAAACATTATAAATTGATCCACCATGTACGAACCAAGTAACGAATTCTCCTAAAACTCCTTACAAGAACTATTCATTACGTAATTTTAAAATCCGGCTACAACATTTCATAGTTACACAATGATGAAATTAAAGATTCATAATTCCCGCTGATAGCCAATTACAGTCAAAATAAATCAGTGGATAGAACTAAAAGGGAATACAAGATGTAATAATGTGGTTCTATATTTGATCGCAGGGAACGCGCTTGTGATCCGAGCGTTCCAATCAAACGCTATTTTTGTATAATTATAAAATAGAAAATCGATTTTAACAAAATAAAATGAGGCTATCATCAATGTAGGTAGTCGAAGTCGATTAAATACGCATTAGTAAGGATAACTCAAAAAATACTGACTCATTTCTTTTAAATGGGACCCACATTAGGAACACCAACTTTCAAATAAATAATAAAAGAATCGTCGAAATCGATTCATATAGAAAAAGAAAAAAAAAACGCAAAAAAAGTCGAACTGAGTGAGAATCATCTCAATTTTTTTTAAGTCAGTTAAAAATATAATAGAAATCATTTGTTTCTTTTTTGCCCATCCCTCACGAATAAGTAGACTACTTTATGATTAATATTTTACGTTGTTAGTTAGGAATTATTTTTCGTTGGACTGGCCACGGACTTTTGTGGTCAGCGTGAAACAATGGATACTGACGCGACGATGTGACGCTATAGTTAAGTACTATCGTCTTGTTTTCGAAGAGACATAGGCGAGTGCAGCGCATCGGTGTACTAGTCTCTACGTGGACCGCGTTGAAAGCGCTTGCCTCCAAAACGAGCTTCGGGAATATTATATTTAAAAAAAAAAGTAAAGTGCCAGTGAAATATTTTTAATCTGTGCCAGCGTCGACGTTTCTTTGAATAACTTTGGTAATTATTTAAATACGTTTTGTTTATATTTGTAATATGTTAATTTTTTTTAATCAAAAAATGCTTTTATTATTTTAATTTAGATATTATTGTGTGATTGGTTTATTATTTTATTTTGTCAAGTATTTGTGTTGATTGCCAGGGCTAAAACCCTGTAAATAAAAAAAAGGATTTAGCATTATCTCAGAACTCTTTGGATAGGAGCGTGTTAAGTATCTACCTCGTGTTACTAATTAATTTTCCGTCACTGTAATTATGTACTCGTTAACTGTTCTATTTGTAGTTAATGTGTCTTTTTTATCTAAAAAATACATTCCTTTACCGTTAATTATTCTGATCGATCCATGTAAGTTTACCATTACGCTTTCCTTAATTTGAATTTGTTTTTTCTTGATTGAAGTGCTTAGATTAGGTAAGTATGTTAGGTACTCCCCCTAAATTTTTTGGACTTTACCTGTTCTAATAAGTTAATCTAAAATTTATATATTCGAGCATATTAATTTGTAATTGATTAAAAGGAAATATAAGCACCATTTCAAGCGATTGTAAAATTTGTTTAAAATATCACACTATAAAATCTGTCGTTTTAAGTTAAAGTATTCTCCATTCAAACAGCCAATATCTATATCTATACTAATATTATAAAGAGGAAAGATTTGTTTGTTTGTTTGTTTCGAATAGGCTCCGAAACTACTGGACCGATTTGAAAAATTCTTTTTCCATTAGAAGCCGACATTGTCCCTGATGAACATAGACTACTTTTTTTAATTTTTTTTTAATTTTTTTTTTTTGTTTCATGTGTGTTTTAATGTTTCCGAAGCGAAGCGAGGGCGGGTTGCTAGTAATATATAATTTTACTAAAAGAAATACTTCTCTCTCTTCTATCTAATTCTTGGAAGTCGTTATAATTAATTAAAACTATGTGTGCATTATACAAAAATAAAATGTGTAATGTCATAAGTTACAATTTTTTTTGATGTTTCATACAATTTTTTTTTCAATTGTCTATAATGCCACGTTAATGTTTTAGAATAGACATTAATAAACATTAACTATTTAAAAAAAAAAAGACAAATATGCGCATATTTTCTTTGCACTGAAACAATGTATCGAAAAAAAGTGATTGGAAAGTGCAATAATCACGCAAATCGTTCCGATCTAATGATTGGAATTTGCTTTACATATGATTTATGTATCGTCGCTGCCCGCGATACTTTCCTAATGATAACTAACCTTTTTTTATATTGTTTTTTATAGTGTATGTATAACATTTTTAATGGGTAGTTTAGGCAAACGGAAATGAAACACTTGTGCCAATTAACTGTTTTTAAAAATTCGAAATACTAAGATGTTTCTTGTGCAGACGTATTCTGACTGACTGAGTTGAGGGCGTACCAACCTTGCGAGAGCATTCTGCCTCGACCTCGCGAACCCTTGGGGTACTAGTGGATAGGGAGGCAAAAAAAAGAACATTTTGCAGAGTAGACTATCTGAAGTAGTCTGTCGTCAATTAAACCCCTCATTACGTATTGCATACCTATCTCCAATTATGCCATAAGACCATTTACATTCTTTGATAAACAAAAATATTGTCAACAGAACAAAGCTAATTATAATATTTATGTATATATGTTAACGGAAATGTATGTAATCCGTCATTGTATACAATTCCTAGGAAATGTATGTAATTCCTAAAATCGCACGGAAATGTGTGAAATAAATTATATTATACTTACACATTACACATTTCCTAGGAAATCTATACATTTCCTAAATAGCAATCGGAAATGTAAAACATTTAAGATATTGGTGGGTATGCGGGGACAGCGGGACGAGTCTTGCACTACGGTCAGTTGCCAACTTGCAATCCACTGGAACCGGCCAGGGATTTAAGAAGTGCCTTTGCAAGAAAAACTGTGCTACATCAAGATGTCTGTTTTAAAAATTAAGTATGTACTTCCAAATGCCATTCGAGCTTACCCTGCAAAAATAAATAGCTATATGAACTGACAAAGTATTATAAATATTTACTTTTATACTTTGACATTTATAATTATTTAATTATCAGACTGATTACTTGCCAAATGAAAATTTGATTTTATAAGAATAAATATAAGTTGATTTTGTGATACGTTAAAAGTTAATAGATAGTTGATTTTAGATGTTTTAATTAGTAAGATAATATGAATATATTATTATTATTTTACGGTATGACTGTTACCCGATTGTCTCAATAAGTGTTATATTAAAAAAATATTATTAACAACGTGTTTTATTACAGAAAGCATTAACTTTATACATTTCCTAATACGATATTGGAATTATATACAATTCTGAGGAAATTTATACATTTCCTAGGATATCTATGCATTAAATAGTTCTTCAAACAATATTTTATACATTTCCTAAATAGTATCGGAATTGTATACATTTCCTAGGATTTGTATACAATTCCTTGATTTCATACATTTCCGGTAACATATACAATAAAGTAAACTTTTCGATCGGATTACGGAATGGAAATTGTTCATTCTGTTATGTACAATATAATATTCATGGTATAATTTGAATATTATGGAATTCAGTCAAGGCTTTCTTAATTAGATGAAAATAAAAAAGTGTTGTATTATGCTTTGACTAGTATGTTACTAATGGCCGCACAACATCAACACCCTTTGTATTAAAAAAAAGGCGCGAAAGTTTAGTACATTAGCATTTAGCAGCTGGTAGAGATTGATGTTCGTTAGTATGTAAAAGATAAAAAATATGATCTTAGCCTAAATTTTAATGGTTGCATGTCTAAATACATCAAAGAAAAAAGTTTGAAAGAGAAACTACCGAAAAAGTATAATCACGGGCCATGTCTTTTTAAGCCGACCATAAAATCAGGAAGAGGTTCTTAATTGTTCGATTGTATTTTATTTATCTGTGTTGCAATAGAACTTTTTTCTAGGTCAACCGATTTTGATGATTTTATTTTGTTTTATTTGAAAGTCGGTGTTTGTCATGTGTCCCATTTAAATTTTACCAAGATTTGACCAGTTCTTTTTGTGTCATCCATGGTAATGCATATTATATATTGCATACAGAGTACATACATCGCTAATATCCTTATTTTTAATATTTTCAACCCGATTTCCTTATTTTTTTGTTAAAGTTTTGTATTACGTATATTAGTAATACTTTGTTTGACAATGATTGCTTTAATTAATGTAAGCCCTTGCGTTAATAGATTATTCACCGAGTTATTTGTTAAGTCAAATTATTAACTTTAGAATTACGTGGTAGAGTTAACATTTTCATATATATTTTGACATTCAACAAGTGTGTTTTTGAATTTGAATTTGACGTGTAACTTATACGAGTCAGGCCCTTATTCTTAAGTCTATGAACATGTAGGCATCGAATATTAGGAATAGGAATAATAATAGGAATAGGCATATATTCACGAATGTTGATGATGACGTAAAAGCAAACGTGGTTTATATATTGAAGTCATTTAGGTGGTTTTTCGGATAGCCATATCAATATTCCGTTAAAATGCTGGAGTTGTTATAATTTAATTATTAAGTGTTCCTATGGCGGTCCCATAGACACAGCCGACTGAGTTTCTCGCCGGATCTTCTCAGTGGGCCGCGATTCCGCTCCGCTAATAGATCCTGCGAAGCACTGCTCTTGCCAGGGCTATTGTTAGCAAATTCTCTCAGGTTCAGTCAGTGAGCTCACCTACCCGTCCACGAGAATTTGGAATAGTCCCTAGGGTTACCAGTGAATAAATAGGAAAACAAAAACTAAAATACATATATTAAAACTTCTTAGTGGATGGTAGGTTAAGTTATGTTTTCTCCTCAATTCTCCTGTTTCGATGTAAAGTCATTTTTTGTTATCCAGGTTCCGGAGTACGGCGGCGGAGCTCGTGTGGTGTGGGCCATGACAGCCGGAGACAGGGAGGTGGAGGCCCAGGCGAAGAAGGGCGAGGATGGAGGCGCAAGCGACCGTGACAGCCGCGCCGCTACCGCACTCAAGCAGTACTGGTGCATAGGACTCAGGATTATTGAACTGGTAAGTGGAATCTTTATTTTTTTATTGCTTAGATGGGTGGACGAGCTCACAGCCTACCTGGTGTTAAGTGGTTACTGGAATCCATAGACATCTACAACGTAAATGCGCCACCCACCTTGAGATATAAGTTCTAAGGTGTCAAGTATAGTTACAACGGCTGCCCCACCCTTCAAACTGAAGCGCATTACTGCTTCACGGCAGAGATAGGCAGGGCGGTGGTACCTACCCATGCAGACTCACAAGAGGTCCTACCACCAGTAATTACGCAAATTATAATTTTGCGGGTTTGATTTTTATTACATGATGTTATTCCTTCACCGTGGAAGTCAATCGTGAACATTTGTTAAGTACGTATTTCATTAGAAAAATTGGTACCCGCCTACGGGATTCGAACACCGGTGCATTGCTAGATGCGAATGCACCGGATGTCTTACGAATCAATTTAAGGCGCATTTTACAAACTAAATGTGCGTCGTCACAATTATCTGCTCGACTATGAATGAATCGGCTGAGTTCCATCTGATATTGTGGTTAGTGGAGCTCATAGACATTGCGACGTGAATGTCACCTCCTGTCTTGAGACTTGAGGTCTGGAGTGATTACGCAAATTATATATATTTTTCACGGAGCTGTTCCTTCATCGTGGAATTCATTCCTGAATAATTTTATTAAGGACGTATTTAATTTTTTTTAAAGTTGTTAACTAATTTGAACATTGGCACTGTCGCTTCGCTGGATACACTAGCCGTCTTACCCTTTAAGAAGCGACGAATTCTTACTTCTACAAATACTTCCCCGTTATCCTTCTCTAGGAAATGATATTCTCTATTTTATTATCTATTCTATAAATTATGTATATTAAAGCCACTGATAATATTGGCTACCAATTTCGAGAACGATACAAGTATCCGCAGAACTAGAAGGGGCGTGGTTGTTATTTCAATGTAATAAGAACTAGGAATTTGTCTCAAATTGGGCCAGTCACGTTGCGGCGGTCCGTGTTCTCCTGCATTTTATTAGAGTATAACCCGACACACCATACTAACCTTACTAATAAAATTTTCAAATAAAACCTTCTACAATCATTTAATCGATAATCGTTAAATAAATCAGAAGTCTATTTATTAATTTGCAGGGTTGAATTTATGAGAACCGAACGTATTGCGACGGCACAAGGTTTTAATTGAGATAATTGTATTGTGTCCTTGGAACTAAAGCCTTCCTTATTCACAGGCTTAATTATCGAACGCCTTATTGTGATGATGATCACGTTTGACTCACTGCTATGATGGTTCGAGATTGTGAGAAGAACCTTCAGAGTTTATGTGTGTTGTGTTCGTACAAAAGTAATGTATTGCTACTTTGTTGTTGACAAATTGCCGTAAATATTACGAAATCTGATGTTATTCGTTTAGGTTAGATATATGGGTCTTGCCTTTAAAGTACAATGAGGAAGTTATATTGTGACTTTTTTTTTTTAATATCTGGCCTAATTATTGCTTGTTTTGTTTATTTTATTTTATTTTGGCTCTCCGTTTCTAAGTCGCAAGATTATTAACATTTTTTACGCAAGTACTATTGATGATCACCGTTTTATATCCAATACATAGATCCAATATAAGTTGTCATTGAAACATTGTGATATTAAAGTTTAATTAAAACACAATTCGATAGACGGAATCATGAAAATGTTTTGGAATATAAAAACAATAGTATTTTGTGTGATTTTTCATTTTCATTTTATTATTTCTTAACTTTCGAGTAATTTACAATTTTCGTGGTCGCCGACGGGTTAAACTCGAGGCTAAGCCGTAAAATTACTTTTCATTATTCATAAAATAGTAAATAAGCACGTATGAAAGTTTTGACTTAAGGACTTGCACTAAGCTCAATGATATGCAATAATTTATAGAAAAGCAACCAATTTTCTAATCAAATGTCTATCATCGTTGGAAAGACTATAAATTATTAACAATATAAACATGTTATTAAACCAACCACGGATTGACGGCATTGAATCGTTTTGCCGCAAAAGTCGATGTGAAAGTTTATAAAAAAAAAAAACCACGCAAAGTCGCTGAGCAATTGGAAAACTATTTACCGCATACTCACTATACCTAATAACTACTCATAAAAGGAGAAAAGACTTATTATGGGTCACCCACCCGCACTTTCACTTATCTTTACAGTTTTTTTCAAATTACGTGACGTATTTTTATTTTATTTTTTGTCGAATTGATATCTCCGTTTAAAATTCGCTGGCGTCCATCACGTTTCGTTTGAACAGTCGTTGATAGAAAAATTTTGATAGCTTGTTTTTTTTTGTTTTTTGTTCTTAATTCGTTCGTTGATTAAGATCTAAATACCGTATACTTACGTACTTGGACAGGTAAATTTATATGCACTGAGATCTTGACTAGTGATTTAAATTAATTGTATACTTACTATAGTTTGATTAAATTCTCGGATCGAAAACGCCGTATGGTCGTATTAAAAAAAAAACTGAATTTATATATCGGGACAATAAAAAAAATAAAGCTATGCTTTTTTCTTGTTGCTTATACAGGTGAATAAGTTGACGATCCACCTTATATTAAGCGGTTACCAGAGCACATATGCATCACGACGTTAAAACAGCCAGCCATCTTGAAAGGTCTATCTGTGTCCCAATTGTATAATCATTACCCAATTTTATTTTCGGGTTTGACTTTTATTACACGATATTATTCGTTCATCGTGAAAGTCAGTCGTGAAACTGGGTAAGCTACAAAAAAATAGTGCCTTCGTGCGAGATTTGAACACTAGCCTATAGTCGCCACGATGGATACCAGTACACCAGAGATCTTAAACTTCCAGACCTAAGATGATTTCAAAATACGCGAACGGAAGAAGATAAATACACTAAAGCCTTTTTTTAGATAGCCTATTTGAATAGTTCCTTATGGATAATTCAATTATTCGAGAGCAAAGGCGATATAAATTATACAAATGAAAATTCTAGAAAGTTCTGAAGTTGACTTTCCCACTAGAATTCGTTTTCCAGGGGCGTAAAGCTTCTTCTTCTTACCCTAATCCCACCTTGCGTCAGATGCAGCATGTTCTCTGGCATGAGTTTTACGACCAGCCACTTGTCTAACGTCAGCCCTCCTTGGGTTATATCTTCATTCTTCATACTATATATTTCAAGGGCAAATAGATAAATACATATTTTTTTTACATCAACCTTTACATTTTTGTCATTATACATTTACAGCCAACTATGAAGTCTTCACAATGAACAACGTGTTTAAATCGAGATGTTTGTTTCAGATAATCGCCATTATCGCGATCGGCCTGATAGTGAGCCCTCTGTACTCTCAGCATGTGGTCCAATCTGATCTGCGTCACATCGCGCTCATATACTCCGCTTATTCGAGTAAGTACATATTATTCGATTACTACATTCATGAAGTTAATGTGGAAGGTGTCCAATAACAACAGAACGGTCCGCAGATTCGTCAGACGCCTGATTGGATGTACGATTATTCCGTGGCACGGCGCCATCTTGATACAATACAAATTCTACTCGGGCTCCCAGACATTTTCTACTGTATTACAAACAATCGAATAAACCGTCGAATACACCGTCCTGGAGTCCGACGAGCGAACTAACCCATAGATAGACACAGCCCACTGAGTTTTTCGGGATCTGCTCAGTTGGTCGCGATTCAGATTCCGTTGTAGAATCTGCGAAGCACTGCTCTTGCTAGAACCAGTGTTGGCAAACTCACTCAGGTTGAGCCCGTGAGCTCATCTACCAGGGAATAACGGGAATAGCCCCTTAGGTATCAGCGAATAGGTGGGGGGGAAAAATAAACAAGATGAGAAGAAATATGTTCAATCTTCGAATGATTGCAATATTTATCACGAATCCAAGTGGTAGGTATAGAAATTTTTCATTAAATTCAAATTAGGTCTGAAACCATACAAAACTGGTGGGTAGTTGTGTTACAAAAAAATAATAGATCAGAGATTTTTTTTGTTTGCCATGCGATTTTCTACTTTAAAGTGAAGTATCATTACTCCTTATAGTTAAAAGTATCGACGGATGTTTCGCATTATTACCCTTGTTTGGTTCACACTAACACCATGATGTAATAGTTTGGGGTAAGTGAACTCATACAATGGCGTGACCATCGATATCCTAAAGGAAATGATTTCAGTGTCTTTCGCACTTTATGGCATGTTTAAAGGCTTATTTTAAGGTATACTCACTTGCCCCAAAATCTTTTATATTACGGGATATGTGAGATTTTGTTGTTCAGTTTCTCTCTGGCTTATTCCTGGTCATCTTCCTTAGATTACTGTCTGAACTTTTGTGTGTGTTCATTGCGTCATTTTTCGTGTTAAGCATTTTGGATCTAGATAGGTTTAGGTTTAGATATCACTAGATATTATTACTTGTACGCCTAGCCAGCCGAAAAACGTTTTTCTTCAAATTGAAGTGGCCTTACCATGACGGTAGACTATCGACTACCAGCAATTTATTAACATTGTTTATGGCATGTGTAGATTTCCACCATTCTTTGAACTTTTAGCAACCGATATTAAAAAAGACTTTATTAGTTGATCCACGATAACGAACTATTGTAAAGGTTTGCTTTTTTTGCGATGTAGCTCCAATATAAGGAGACATTGTTTGGAAACTAACAAAATTGAATAATAAAATCTTTGTTGAGACCCTGACCTGATTGTGACGATAGTTTCTGTTCTAATCATTCAATTTAACGCAATTGTTCGTAAAATTTTATCTGGTGCTTCACGGCTGATCGATTCTAAATAAGCTAAGTCGTTTTATTTGAGTTAAAACAAGGTTTTTTTTTTGTAATCGAATCTTATTTATTGAGTAACCCAAGAAATAGCAGCAATAGTAAAATTTCCATGATTCCAAGATACAAATTGCCAATCTGTATTTGGTAAATGAAAATTCATAAGATTCTTAGATTTCTTTAAGTAATTAATCTAATATAGTACATGTCTAGATTCGAGAAGAGATAAAGTATTAAATACAAAATCGATATTTATCAATGGCGATTAATGAAATATTTACATTAAGATTATAATTGAGGAACGACTGGCCTTATATCTAGAGCGGACTACACCTGCCGTTTTGAAGGGCGAATTTAAAGAAAATATTTAGGTACATATATGTAGAAGTCAATCAAGTCACAGTCCAAAAAAAATGGCTTTACATTACTGAGCATCTATCCAAAACGGGAAAATTTACACTAAAAACAGATTGAGAGCTTCTTTTTCTATCAAAACAATGTAATTAACGTCAATGTTTCTTAAAATAACGTATCTAAATATATAAAAAGTATAATTATGCAACATTTGCATAACGATTATCGCGAAGTGTCATTGACACTAACCCAATAATCCATTCTGCGGTTTCACTCGTTAATTCCCGGAAAATCGATTAGGTTGTACTGTGTGAAAGTAAAATCGGCACACCACTTACGGAACGGTCAGTTTTACTTGAATTATCGCATTTCCCTGTTTGTTATCGATTTTATTGTTTCGATTTGTGTTTTTATTGATTATTGTATAATTTTTTTTATTGCTTAGATGTGTGGACGAGCTCACAGCCCACCTGATGTTAAGTGGTTACTGGAGCTCATAGACATCTAAAACGTAAATGCGCCACCCACCTTGAGACATAAGTTCTAAGGTCTCAGGTATAGTTACAACGGCTGCCCCACCCTTCAAACCGAAACGCATTACTGCTTCACGGCAGAAATAAGCAGGGTGGTGGTACCTACCCGCGCGGACTCTCAAGAGGTCCTACCACCAGTAAAAATCCGCGGAATGTTTTAAAAACGCATACAAAAACACACATTATGTTCTTATTTCGATTTTCACATTTCAGGAGTTCTCGATATTACGGCTCTAAATAATAATGTGTTTAATGTGAATTGACGTGAAAGTTTAAAACAATTCGTAGACAAAAGAAACCTTCATTTTTATATAGGTATAGTACTCCGGCCTTTGCTCTGAAATTAAGTTTGATTCTGTTTCAACTGTTGCTATTGTTTGACTAAAAGGAGTCGTTTCCGTGTCTGTTGTAATTGTATAGATTAGCTTAATTTGTTTAAATTATTCTCATGTCATTGGCATGGTAAGTCATGGCATGTAATTTTTTGCCTCTAATAACGAATCCAAATGAGTTTATTACGTTGAAACATTTACTACAACGCATACTTTAGTTCATATAAATCATAATCACCTCAACACTTTGAAATCTGTTTGAAAAATCTGAGCAGAAATACATGAGTCGCTGTGAAAGTTTTAAATACAGTAGTCGCAAAATACGTTCGGTCCCTCATCGATGGAAAACAAGTCTATAACTCATAAAATACTCGATTCTATTGAAAATACATTGGTTCTGTTCCAATTGTTACGAACGTTGGTTTATTGAGGGTAATGTCGTTTTGTTAACGCGATATCGCTTAAGCAAGACCAACTTGATTGTGCATGATCCATTTAAAACAATATTTCTTTTACAGGAAATAAATAAATATTTTAATAGTTTAAAAGGGTTAAATTGCTTCTTTATTCCTTACCTATTCGCTGGGAGCCTAAAGGGATATTCCAACTTCTCATGGACTGTCAGGTAAGCTCATGGGCTCAACCTGAGAGAATTCGCTAACACTAGACTTAGCAAGAGCAGTGCTTCACAAAATCTACCACCGGATCGGAGTCGCGACCCACTGAGAAGATCCGGCGAGAAGCCTAAGTGGGTTGTGTCTGTGCGATACACCTATGTGGAACTACATTTAATATCTGTGTGCTTAGTGCGAGCTTTTTAACGTTCTCGATAGCGCAAAAGTTAACTCAAATTTGTATGGTAGAACGTTTGCCTACGTTTGCCGCTAGGGGCGCTGTTCCAACTGCATACAAAATTAACTTTTCTCTATCGAGAAAAAACTCGCACTAAGCCACTGGTACGTCGAATTAGCCTGGGTGGGATGTGAAAGATGGAATAATCCTGGCGTCGCTTTTTCACCTCAAAAGCCGATCTTTGGTTCTATACATACATCAAGTGGCCCCAATGCACTTGCTCATAACAACCAGGCGTTGTGCCGCGAACCAATCACAACTCGAAAAGTTTGACAAACTCTGGCATGGCATGAGCCTTCGATATTTCAAATATGAACCTCTCATTGAATCAGCCTTTTTTGTTTTAGGTTTCATAATAATAACGAGCGTTTTAATAATCGCCCGCTTGTTTGGCGAGACGGTCGGCTGGAGGACTTCTATGGCGTTTTCCATACTTGGCGCCATTATGTTCACGGCAGCCGCCGCGGTTATATTCTATGGTGAGTATTAATTACTATCGAATTGGTAAGGGCTTCTGGCAAGAAGCAACCGACGTTCTTGAGACTTCGAACTCATGACGAGTGGCTCAAAAATCTATGGGCTTCTGGTAAAGTAGAATTGTAATTGAATTTATTGTTCCGTATATGGATAAAAGGCGTGGATTCTGTATTTGCTTAAAACATCAATGGGTTTTCATCGTTGTGGTACTAGATTGATGACTTATAGCAATGAAAACAGACGCATTAAGATAATTAGGCTTATTAATCTGGCAGCGATACCATAATACGATGTCTAATCAATTAGGTCAGCTAAATTACTTTTCTGGAATTTTCCTTGTTGATGCTCATGTTGATTTAGCGGGAGGCATTGTAATTTAGGTATAACTAAATACCGGTTAGTTGCAATTGAAAAATTAATAATAAATTATTTTATTGCAAATAACTGTAGTAATAATCTAAGTATTCACATTGCACACATTGTCTATGCCCACGAGATCCGAATAGGAAAGCGCCACGGTTACGCTCATTAAAAACAACACGTTTTGTCTATGGGGAACCGTGTTAGACTTCCGGTTATTTTAATTTCGCACGAACCATTACGGTACTAAATAGTTTTGTATGTTCGATGTTTAGAACTTGTATTTATAATTGAGAAAGCAATTTTTTTTAATTAAACATTGCCTTGTAATGGCTGCCTTATAACAGTACAGTTTTTTGTTGGAAAGAAACCGAAACTTGGCTAGGTTTTTTTTATGATAGACGAGCTCAAGGGTCGACTGGTCTTAAAGAGTAATCAGAACTGGATAATAATAGCATGACGGCTTGCTTTGAGAGATGGGAACAAAATCGAATTTGGGATTAATAACGGGTATCATATATTTCAAACCGGAGCACACGCTTCACGGTAGAAAAGTACCGCACAGATAAATCGTCTTTTTGCATTAAAAGTGTATAATTTCCAAAAATATTCGAAATTGAGTTAATATGCGGAATCATTTGGTATCACCAGTATTTTTCTCATAAATACCGTCAAAAGAGCGTAGCTTAGTATTAGTCTTTTTTTTTTAGTTTACCTATATTTACCTATATTTGACTACTATTAACAAAATTAATACATAATTTTATCTTACTTTAAAACACAGATAATGTAACTGGTAAAAAAATAAAAAATAAATGTTGCAAAGATGATTAATAATAAAAATATCACATGTTAAACTTTTAAAACACTTTCCTGTAAAATTAGTAAGTTTTGAGATTATACAGTTTTAGTGCGAGAAGACGAAATGTGCTTTATAGAATTATTACGCTTCATTCAAAATTGGACCCTACGTCTCAAGATAAACGGCGGCATTCAAGTTACATTTTGAGGGTTTCTTCTTTTCTTATGTGTTCGTGCGGTCATTCACCCAATCGATTGAAACTTTATAAAAATATTATTAGCATAATTAAAACTAATTTTACGGTTTGATGTCCCGTTTTTTATTGTCATTGTCAAACAGGCAATTTTTTGAAATGTCGGAATTAATGTAATGAAAATAAAAAAAATGCGAGAATAGATTGTAAAAGTAGTCTTATTACTTTTTTTTATTGCATAAGTGGGTGAACGATCTCACAGCCCACCTGGTGTTAAGTGGTTACCGGAGCCCATAGACATCTACAACGTAAATACCGCCACACACCTTTAGATATTAGTTTTAGGGTCAATATAGTTGTGTTATGTCATAACTTTCGAAAACCAATTAAAATATCATGTTTTTATTAATTCTGGATTTCAACAAAAGATATGTACTCTTAACTAATGTATTATTATAATAATCGTCGCAGCGAACTAGTTTCGGACTAGCGTGTTATAAGAATATTTTTTTTACAGACTGGCACAAATCTTACTACGCGAACCTACGTCCGAACAAACAGACTTACGACCTCCTAATCTCCTCTGGAGTGTTTGCTGTCATCAACGTGCTCGTTTTCATCATCCACGCTGTATTAACTTTCAGAAAGGAAGCCGACTATTGAACTAATTTCACGAACAGTTAACTAATTTTTAAGACCGAATGATTGTTAAATCTTTTGCCTATCTTATCCGTAAAATTATCTTATAGAGATTTCCATAGTTTCATTTTCTTATATTTTAAAATAGTTGTTTGCTTTATTAATTATTGAGTAAATTATATTTTGTATAATTTAATATTTTTTTCGATAGGTATATCCTTATTTTTTTATTGAACGTAGAGTTACTTTAAATAATGGCATTCAATAAAATATAGTTCTTGTCTCCTGTAAAACGATTCGTGGTGCATCTCACATTCGTGGTTTTAGGTTAGAGATATTACCTTATAAGGTAAGTATGTAATGGGTACTGCATTATTTGTATTATTTATGCATTAATGTTTTAAAATTAGAATGATTAAATTATTATTAATCTATTTAATTTAGTATACATAGATTAAATTGTTAATATACTTAAGTTGAAGTTGCCCACAGATGTAGCTATTCAAATTATTACTGGGGGACATTTTTTGGGTGACATTTTGACAACTGTCATTGTTGTCAAGTTTTGTTACGTCAAGTATTTTTCTACACTTCGGAATTTAAAATGACAATAACTTTTAACGACGTTATTATTCGGCAATTCGGCAGCTACATTTTATTGCTAAATACGGCAGCTACATTTTAGTATATTTATAAATATAGCAGCTATATTTTATTTAAAAATTCGGCAGTTAAATTTTATTTTAGAATTCAGCAGCTACATTTTATTGTTAAATTCGGCAGCTATATTTAAAAAAAACCGCAGCTACATTATAGTATAGTTATAAATATAGCAGCTATATTTTAATTCAAAATTCGGCAGTTAAATTTTATTTTAGACTTCAGCAGCTACATTTTATTGCTAAATTCGGCAGCTATATTTAAAAAAAAAATCCGCAGCTACATTTTATTACAGGTCTAAATATAGCAGCTATATTTTATTTTAAAATTCGGTAGTTACATTTCATTTTAGAATTCAGCAGCTACATTTTATTTTAGAATTCAGCGGCTACATTTTATTTTTAATTTCGGCATCTACATTTTAACATTGAATCTGACATCTGAATTTTAGTTTTAAATTAGGCAGCTGCCTTTAATTTCAAATATCAGCGGCTACATTTTAGTTTTAAATTCAGCAGCTACATTTTATTTTTTAAATTAGCAGTTATTTTTTATTTATAAAATAAGAAGCTACAGCTTTTTTTTAAATTCAGCAGCTATATTTTAGATATACATTTAGCAGCTATTTTATTTCTAAATTCGGCGTCTACATTTTTGATTCAATTTCGGAGCTACATTTTTTTTTAATTTAGCAGCTACGTTTTAATTGTAAACTTAACAACTATACTTTATTTTAGAATTTAGATTCGGCATCTATATTTTTTTACTACATTTTTTTTAAATTTAGTAACTACATTTTATTATTAAATTCAGTAGATACATTTTATTTTAAAATTCAGCAGCTATATCGTAGTTTTAAATTCCGCAGCTACATTTTGTTTTTAAATTCAATTAGAGATTGACTATTTATGGTAAAAAAATAAATATATATATATATATATTTATACACGCCGCAAACAAAAAAAAGACCAAAGTTTCCATTTTTTTATATTAAAAATTGTTTTCAAGGTAGTAAAGGTTTTTTTTTCTTCATAAAATTAAATATCTAATCATTAAGTTTCAATGTAGACTTTCAAAGTGATCGATTCAAAGCAATCATATATAATGAGACAAATTCAACTATTTTTCATATTGTGCTCTAAAATGGCAGTTTGACGCGGCTATACACAGCTGTTTTTATAAAGAATGAAACTTAGCTAGGTTGGCTAAACCAAGAAATGTAATTTGACCGTGACCGTCGTATTTCTGTGGGAATTTAACCAAACGCATGTGTTTTGATAAATTATCATAATTAATATGCAGCTTGAATATGCAGTTACCGAAATAGACTATAGACATCATTTTTTACTGGTGGTAGGACCTCTTGTGACTCCGCACGGGTAGGTACCACCACCCTGCCTATTTCTGCCGTGAAGCAGTAATGCGTTTCGGTTTAAAGGATGGGGCAGCCGTTGTAACCGTACTCAGACCTTAGAACTTATATCTCAAGGTGGGTTGCGCATTTACGTTGTAGATGTCTATGGGCTCCAGTGATCAGTTAACAACAGGCGGGCTGTCAGCTCGTCCACCCATTTAAGCAATAAATAAAATCCAGTTTTAAATTAATTGACATTTAAATATATTTAAGCTATTTTAATAATGGTTCTCTTTTTAGAAGAGCTAATAGGCAGCAGCAAAAAGGGCAGCTATTTTCACATTACTTATCAGTATTTAATTTTTGTGTTTTTCTATGGTAGCTTTATATATAGTATTTACACGGCACTTTTTAGCCAATGATATTATCATTTCGTATTTCGTTTTAATGTCTTCTTAAATTAAGGTTTTTAAATAAAATAATAACTAGGTACTACATTTTCTTACACGCCACAATGTTTAGTTAATTTTATTTTATTAAGAGCAAAACCACAATCCATTAGGAATATAATTAAAGGTGCGTGGCGCATTTACGTTGTAGATGTCTATGGGTTCCAGTAACCACTTAATACCAGGTGGGCTGTGAGCTCGTCCACACATCTAGGCAATAAAAAAAGTTTTTTTTTAAAGTAAATCCAATTCAAATCTTAAGGGACACACGGACGATGTGTATAGGGTTATTTTAAATTTTAATATTACATGTTTTGGTTTTATTCAATTGAATCTTTCCAATTACAAGATCGCGAATATGAAAATAGTAAAAACAAAATCGTTTTACAAGAGACACAAATTGACCTTAGATACGTTGAACTCAATCGTTTGTAACAGACAAATGTCAAGTGCGTTTTGGCGCTAAAATTATTGTTTTGTCATAATTTGAATACATTCTCAGATTAAATCATATTTAGCTCGTAAGTATTTAAGGTGCATGTATTCTAAATAAATATCGGTTATTTTAATCTTAGGAAATGCAGAAATTTATAGTATTTTAATTATTCATCGCAATTACTGGAACATTCCGTTATCTATAAATATAATATAGTATGACCTGTGCTGGCTGGTATCACTATTCCATTTTGGAAGCAAAGAGATTAGGCATTTCAGTTTGAAGTTATCCAAAATAATGACAAACAAACAAAAATAGTTTCGGAATCCGTCATTTTATACGTTAGAAATTTATGCTATTCGTGTATATCAAAATTTGTATTAATACTTATTAGGGACAATATTTAAAAAGTAAATAAAGCAAAATCGAAGTTGTAACTGATTTACGATTTTTTTACTCGTTTTTTTTTTGTGAACGAGCAAGAGGCACAGGAATTATGAAATGGAATTATGTTTTAATCGTAATCTAAGTTTAAAAATAATTAATTCATGTTAAGTAAAATTATAAATGTATAAAGGGAAGAACCAAAGCAGTAATCAGTATCCGTCCAGTTGTAGTTAAGTTACTTTTCTATCTTTTCTTTCAATCAGGGATGTGTGTACATGTAGCTTTTATGATCGTTAATTAAATATTAATACTTGAAGGTTTTCAAACCGATAAAGCGTTAAATAAATAAAGAAAAACTAAAATACGCTCCAAATCTTGCTAGCGTGAAAGTATTTCACGTCTCATTTTCCCTTCGTTTTTCTGTTACAAGCTACCTAGTATTGTATGAAATTATGCGCTAGTGATGAGCAATGCTTTTCAATTTATCATAACAACGATTACTACGAAACTCCATTTATAAAACGATTGTACAATTTTGCAGTACATAACATCTCTAGCATACTTCTCTTACTACACTGATATGTTCTGATTAATTTTAGTAGTAGCTTTTAGGTTTATCTTCAAATAAAATTTTCGTTTCTTCCTTAATCTTAATGTCATTTATTTAATATTTTTTGTTTATTAAAATTGAATACGTTCTAAAATGTAATTCGTATGTCGCAATGGAAAGATAACATAAAAACGTAATTTTTTGTTTCGTAAATGTAAAAATAACAATAAAAACATCATCATCGTTATACTGTTAGTTTATAGCTTGTAGGTTAATAAATACAGCATAACATATTACATAAAATAGCATGTAGTTAATTAATAAATAATCATTATAACAATCACAGATCCGGCGCTAATGTTACCTTAAAAAACCATGTTTTCGAAAATCAACGTGAAAACATTTGAAAATAAATAACAGGTACTTCTGTAATTGAACAGGACGCATCGACTAAAAGCTCTGAATCTCTAGGGCCGGTTTTTATTTAAATTGAAAATGTCTCTCAATTCTTTATTTATAAAACAGATTTATAATATTAAATTTTGTATTGAAGATTAAAACTTATACTATATAATATGATAACCGTTTATACTTATTTACCTACCATGTATATTTTGTGTAATCGATTAAATTTAAATAAAAAAATAAAACAAAAGAATGTGTTTTACTATGTGTTAAACTAATAATGTGGCACTGAGGAATCAGATTTTATATGATACTAGCTGACCCGGCAGAGTTCGTAGTGCTTCAATCGATAAGTAAAAGACCTAAGCTTTTGTATAAAATAAACTTAAAGCAAACAAAAGAAACCCGTCCAGGGGAGGGACACATCAAAGGAAAAACAAATATTTATTTTTATTTAATTCCGAGCATTTCCGTATTTATATACCTTTTAAAACCTTCTCTGGACTTTCACAAATAATTCAAGATCAAAATTAGCCAAATCGGTCCAGCCGTTCTCGAGTTTTAGTGAGACTAACGAACAGCAATTCATTTTTATATATATGATTATACTAGCTGACCCGGGTGAATTCGTAGTGCTTCAATCGATAAATAAGAGACCTAAGCTTTTGTATAAAATAAACTTAAAACAAACAAAAGAAACCCGTCCAACGGAAGGGACACATCAAAGGAAAAACAAAATTGTTATTTTTATTTAATTCCGAGCATTTTCATATTTATCTACCTTTTAAAACCTTCTCTGGACTTTCACAATTAATTCAATACCAAAATAAGCCAAATCGGTCTAGCCGTTCTCGAGATTTAGCGAGACTAACGAGCAGCAATTCATTTTTATATATATAGATAGATGATGAATTATGACACGACACGCTTCTGTCAGCACTCTGTAATATTCTACTTTGGAATGTTCCAAAAAACCTTAAGCCATGCTAGGATTTTTAATATACTCTACTTCAAAAAATTCGAACGGTTTATTTTAATGTAGTAAACGCCAGATAATTATTCTGTATAACGTTGAAGTAGCAGAATGGAAACAAATTGCATAATAATAAACAAGAATGAAACAAAGCTAGATTAACAAGAAAAAAATCGATATAAAAATATGATTAACAAGATACAAAAGAATGAAAAACGCAAAAAAGTTTACTATGCGCTATGGACGTGTCTTTAATATTTTATCCTAAATAACGCTTTGTCCTTGTTGGTAGATTTAGCTCTTTGTTGGAATGGACTCAGAATATCGTACGCTCGGCTTGAATCTTTTTTCGTCTTTCCTGTTCCATAGTCTGTGAGTGAAAATGATAACGATAAAAGGGTAATGATGATAGCCTCGTACGTTTCCCAGTAACTGGACACGAAA